AACAGATGCTATAGTATCATCTTATGCAACGCCTCATATAGCCGTGACGGGAGAGGGGATGCAGAACAAGCAGCAAGTGGAGCTTTCGCTGCCCAACGCCTGCTGCTGACCTGTTGTGTGTTTCTGGGTCTGCCCATTTCTTGGCTGTCAGTAAACTCTTGTTTACTGTCTCGTTGAAGAGAGATGGCTGGAAACCCCCCTCAATGCAAATAATCATCCTTATTTGCCTATAAATACACTCCCACCCCCCTCTGCTCTTCCCCTCTCCCTGCCTGCAGACTGTTTGCAAAGTAATCCCTTGCTTGCCAAGGCTGCCTTATCAGTTGCCTTGCTTCTGATGCATATCTCAGCCTTTCCCCTTCCTCTTTTTCTCATGCAGTGATGCTGCAAGAAGATAAAATACTGGCTTTTTTTTTCCCCCTAGACAAATTGATTTCAGTTGGACCTTGGGGGAGGCAGCCAGGCGAAAAGCAGGGGAGAGTTTGCAGTAGAGCAGCAGCAAACAGCAAATGTTGGCAGCCTGCATGATAAAGCTGTTGCTTTGCATGCAGATAACCTCCGTCATCTGCATGTCTTAAAGGAGTTTGCAAAGGTGCTTTGCAAGTGGCTTGGAGCTGTCAAGGGAAAGGAAAGGCAACCTCAGAGCGGAGGAAAGATGTTAATAAAATTTAAATGCAATTCTTCCCTTTTGTCAGTTCCTAAATGTGCAAAATATTAGCTCAGTGGAGACTGAAAACAGATGGCGAGCAGTTGGAACAGATAAGCATGTTATTCAAAATAAACATTCGCCAAAGCTGGGGAGGTGGCGGACCATATTTCATTTCACCCTATTTACATTATCAGGTCAGGTTACACTGATGCTGCCTTGAGTTTGCATTTGCATTATCAACAGGGAACCTGGGAAAGCCAGCCCGTTGCAGCATGTCCTTTTAATTATAGGCTTGTTTGGGTTGCAAGGGGTGTTTTGTGAGCCGTTTCTCTGGCCTTTGCTCCGGGGTAACAGTAAGCTGGTTATCTTGCAACAGCCCTTGCAGACTGTGGGCATGGGGAGGGCACCAAAGTACCCGTCCTTTGCCCGCCCGTTCCTCCTCCAGATGGTTTCTTTTGCTGTTTGGACAAGTTTTATATTGCTTTGTCTTAAGGCTGTGATTGTTGCTCGTCTGTTTGGGTGGTGATCTCGCAAAACAGAGCCGCAAACCTCTGTTTTGCAGGACTGTCCTGTCTAGGGAGCCTTGTTCGCGCTGACTTTTTGGCATTCGGCAGCTTGTGCCTCTAACACAAGTGGCCATCTGGGCCACGGGGGCTGGTGGAAGGAGAAACATCTGCCTGCGGCCGGGCTGCCCTTGTGGTGAGTAACCCAGGGGTTGCTGGAGAGGCTCTGAGGGCGCCGGTGCCTCCGCCGGACGCGACGCGGCGCAGCGCGAGCGAGGCAGCTCGCTTGGCGCGGGGCCTGAGTGAGCGGCCCCGTCGTGGGCTCAGCCTTTGGGACGGCTTCCTTGGCCGCTGCTCCACAAAGGCCAGTCCGAACTACAGGCTCTGACCTTTCTGCATCGGGGGGAAGTGGCTGCTGGGGGTAGGAGCGTGTTCAGCCTCCTCCGTGTGAAAGTCAAAAACATCTGTTCTGCCTAAGACTATTGTTTCAGTATTAGCTTGTGTGTCTTCGTCCTGCATCTCTGAATCACGGAGCAAACCCTTTCTGTATATGACCTTGTTGAAAAACACCAACTGAAACCAAAATGTTGTTTGTTCGCAGACTTTTTGCAATCTAGCTGCGAGCACCTCATTGCATTTCAAGGCTGCTCTATCTTGCAAGCTGCAAGAGAAAAAAGGAAAAGCAAGTCCTTTTATGGCCTAACTGACAGTTAAGTTCTGCTGTATCATGTTTAACGCGCTTGCTTTCTTCTAATATGTTTCATGTATTGACTTTTGCAAAGAGCTGAAGTCGGATAAGCTAGAGTGCTTGAATCCAGCAGGCTGGTTTGGGGAGAAAGCAGTTCAGATGCTGTGCAGCTGTTGTAATGAAGATGTACCACTTTGGTTCCATTTGAGGAAAGCTCTTTTTTCCATTAATTCTTCCAATGGTGAATCAAGGGGGCTCCTATACCTGCAACAAAAGTTTTGAAGATAGTGCTGTCCATCCTCTCTGTTCTTCTGAAGTAGCTACCTCCAGTAGCTCTACAGTAGCACTCTAAGAAACGAGTGAAAAAAGTCTCAAGCCAGGGAGCTGTATATAACTGTTTTCAAGCTCAGAAGCATGAAGAGATAAGTAAAGCGAGCTTCTTTATATACTTCCAGTTTCCAAAGAGATCAGATGCTAGCCATTCTTGAGAGGTTGCCTGTCATAGCAACACTCCTTTATTATTAGATACTATGGTCGGAAGGCTTCCTTAAAGAAAATAAATATGATGAAATTGGTCTCAAGCAGCTGTTTAAAATGTCCCTATCTGTGTTGTGCAACTGCAGGGAAGGCTTGAGCCACAGTTCTCCCCGCAATGACATGCTCAGGACGGGGATGCTCTCTGACAACTACTCCTAGCCCTGAATTTTATTCTGCTTTGTTGTACTTTGATATAATTTATTCTCTTCTTCTCCCATTAAGGGAGGATTATTGACTGCGTTTAGTCTTAATTGATGCTCCTTTTTAATTTGCTGTTCTAGGGCTAGAATTGGAGCAGTAGAAGAAATAGAGCATGTCAAGAGTTTTAACATGGAGAATCAAGTAAAAGCAGGACCTTGTGGTATGGTGCTTGGACAAGAAGAGAGATGTTACGTTTCAGGTCCACGTGGGCACTCAGTCCCTCATGTACTTGGACTCCTGAAATGGCACACACGAGTGTATAGCATGCAGCAGTATCTTGTATATATTTGTATCTTTGGGGAAGAGTTGCTGGTTTCTGAGGTGCTGCAGCCAGGCCAGACACAGGCTGGCAGCTGATGGAGCACCAGCTCGCAGTGCTGTTCCAGCTGGGACACATGTCTCTGGCCTCCAAAGGCTGGGGTGGCACTTGGCTTCTGCGCAGGACTTCAGCAGAATGGACTGCTCAGGTAGCACAACTTGCAGGTGTCTTGAGGAGCTGCTGCTCCAGAGATCTCCACCTCGTTCTGAGCTCACCCTCAATCCCGGGCTCAAGTACTTGCGCTGGGTCTGGTTTGCTCACATGATTCTCATTAAATTATTGTATTCAGGCTCAAAGTCAGAAGTTGCAGAAAGATGCTTTTTAATCTGCATTTATAGATGCCCTGGATCATTAACAGGAAGCTTTTAAATTTAACAACCCTGTTTACTTCTTGTCTGTCTGCCAGAGCGAGCCCGGAAGAGAAGGTGTTGGCTTCTCCGGGGATCTGCTCTTGTCTCATGCCACAGCACAGCAGTAGCTGGTTTTATTTTAGGGGAATAAATTGCATGTAACTCTTTTTCTTTTTCCCCATGTGCGTTAACGAGAGCAGCTCCGCTTGCTTTGCCAGCGCTTTGATACTGTATTTAATGCATCCTAGGAATGTTTTAGGAGGAAAGATGAGAAACATTAAGAATTTAATGAATCTGTCCAGAACGTGGTGATATCAGGGTATCCATGTATACCTGTGGAAGAGGGTTTTGTAGGAAGGCAGGAAAGTGGTGATATCTGATGTCTGAAGCGTGTCTGAAGCATGTGGTTGGAGGGGAAAGTGGCAAAACCCGTTAAGTGCAGGGAGGACTTGGGTATGGAGGTCTCCTTGGCAAGTGTTCGGACAGGCAGGCACAGAGGTGGGCAAAGAATTTGCAGAGAATAGTGTCAAGCAAATCTCACTTCTGCTTGTGGATTGCATGCAAAGAGTTGCTGGTTCTCATGGTTTTGCTCCTCATTTTGCAATTATTTGTATGTTCAGAGCAAATCTGTTTCCATGCCCTGCTAGCTCTCAAGCAGCTGGCAGCAAGTGGCAGGTGGTCACAATTAGTGCCCTTGAGACTGGAAAAGGTGGGTCATGCAGCCGTGTTCCTCCTCCCTACCTGGGTGAGTGACTTCAACCCAGGTGCTTCAGGCTGGAAACGCTCTTAACTCCACGTGCAGACCCTGCTACATCCATGCAGAGATGGGGAAGGAGATGGACCAAGTGCATGTGACTAGTGGCTGGCAATGTTAATATAATAATGTTAATGTTAACGTTATAATAATACATTATATTATAAATATACATTATATTATACATTATATTACATTATATTATAAACATTAATTACATTATATTATAATACTTTATATTATAAATATTAATAGCAGTTTCGCAGGGCTTCAGCAATTTCCCCACTTTGGGAAAGCAAAGCTTAGGAAGTTCTTCTGAAAAGAGACTCAAATAAATGAAGATACAAACTTGCTGGAGATTTGGATTTTAAAATGACTGCAGGCCCAGACCCAAGCCCAGCAGTGCCAGCAGCAAGGAGATGGATGGAGTCTCTTGCTTATGGGGGAACGTAGGTTTTCATGTATTTGTCTCCACTTCCTCTTCTGCAGTGGGTGTCCATAATCCTGCAAACAAGAGAAAAACAACCAAAACAATGAGGAATATGACATTTATTTGTTGCCTCGCTTGCTTTACTGATGACATGCCATAAGGAAAATAAATGAGGCAGCTCTCACGCAGTGCCTGTTGCAAAACCAGCTGCTTGTGCCTTGCCAAACTGAGTGGCCATGAGCACCAGTGCCAAGTGCTGCGGGCTCAGGTGCCTGTTTGCACTCTCTGCCGTCCGGAACTGGCATCTTTGTGGTCAGGAGTTGCAGAGTGGCCGCTCTCTTCAAAAACAAGGCTTACACAAAAGCAAACGGTGAAAAAAACCCTTGGGGACAGATCTTGGGGCAAAATGGTCTGCTCAAGGTAACAGGCCACTGAGCATCTGTGGCCCAAGCTGCTCCCCCAGGACTGGGGACGGCTGGTGCATGCAGGCGCCCACGGGACGGGCCATGCGGTGCTCATCACGGCTAACGTTTCCTCCTCCTTCTCCTGCTGCAGTTGCCGGTGATAAGAGGGTGCCAGTGATGCCTGGCTCGCCAGTGGAAGTGAAGATCCAGTCAAGGTCCTCGCCGCCCAGCATGCCACCGCTGCCCCCTGTGAACCCCGGTGGCCCCCGGCCCGTCTCCTTCACTCCAGCAGCACGTAAGTGCTTTTCCGTGGGGTTCTCCGATGCTCACAAATCCATGTTTTGGCCACCCGTCTGTGCCCACGGGTGGCACAGTGACCATAATTGATCCCATAGACAAAAAAGCAAATGAGAACTTGAGGGTTCTTGCTTTTGGCCACTTACCTGGGACATCTAAGGAGATCTATAACCTTCTTGACAACCATTCCCTGCTGCAGCCTGGGCTGTCGGAGCTGCCCCTGGGCCCTCTCCTTGCAAGTACTGCCTGGATTTCCAGGAGAAATTCCTTAAGGCATTGCGGTCTGCCATCAGGTCAGCCAAGGGCTGGGCTTTCCCTAGGGTCTTTGGAGAATTGCTGCCTACGCTGCTGCAGCTCACATTGTAGACAGCACTTCTGAAACCAAGATGAGCACGTTTCTTCTTTTCTGCTTCCCATCCAGGTGTTCCCTGCTATCCATTCCTTGCCGTCTGTCCAGATTTTGTCCATCTTTTCTGCATCCTTCCTCTTAATCCTTTCTATTAAGCCACAGTTCATCCTTGCCTAGCCATAAGTCAGCCTCACTCATGCTTGCTTGTTGTGTTAGGATGTTCCTCAGAGGTGACTTCCATGAATAGGGACTTTCTATGGCTACAACCTCTTTCCCAAAGCCTAGAAGGAATCCAGGCTCATTTTTCTCCTTTAGCCAACATAGAAGGCAAAGCTGACCTGTTTTACTTAACAGTTACATTTGGAACGATCTGTTAAATATATATTGTATATAATATATTATTGTACCCCAAGAAGGAATGGTTATGTTTGGAATTGGAATGGAAAATAATGGAATTATTTTTCAATTTCTCCTCAGTTTTTTCCCCAAGCTTACTGTGCCTCTAGCTGCTCTTCTATTACCGCAAAACCTCATGAGGTCTCTAATACCTCACAGTTTAACACTGACAAGCAACTTCATAGATTTCTTTAGCTCAGTCTCTTTCAGGAGATACATTCACTAATGTAATGAGCAATGCTGGCAGTAACACAAATCACTGGGTTATCCCACCAGACACATTGTCCCCGTCTGTATACACTGAAGATTTTTAAATAGCTGTCCTTTTACTGAGGCAGAAAAAGCCATTAGCAAAGTGACAGAAATTAATTTTTCCAGAAAGGATGTTTGACACGCTATTAAAGTCCAAGTAGCTTGAACCTCCTGATTCCAGTTCGCTTAATTACCTCTGTGCAAGAGAAATGTTAAAGGCAACCTGTGGCAAAATTTATTTTTTGATTCTTAGGTTTCAAACATCCTTCTTCAGCCCACTTTGCTCCCCTGGCAATGCATGTCCCTTGAGACTTTTCAGGCAACTCTCAGTTACTCTGCAATAAAGTAACTTGCAGGTGGGTAAGGTGCCTTGGTCAAGGCTTTCAGAGAGCAGAGACCTCTGCTATCTGAGCCCATTTGAATGACTTTCTCTTGGGTTTACACCATTTTTGTCTTGAAATAAGAGCTTGTTATGAGTCACCACCAGAATCCCTGACTTTGAACTTAGCTCTGCATTAGCTTTAGTGGAGTGGGGACCCCACATAGAGCTGATCCTGCCCTTTGGCCCTGCAGCACGTATCTGTGTCTCCCCTGGGTTGGAGGAGGCATTGTGGACTACACTTGCTAAGTTGTCCTGCTCTGTCACCAAATTACACATGCTGCTCTGTCCTCCTTTTAGAACAAGTGTTCCCCTTCATCTCTTCATCTCTGTGCTTACAAAGGGCTGCATCCTTGTTGCAGCCCAGAAAAGCCGGTCCCCTCCTCGTTAGCACGAGTGACTTTGATGCTCTCTTTACAATTATCTTTTCCTGGGATCTGTAACTGACTCTGGGTAACGTACCAGGTTCTTCCCGCATGCATCACGCTGGGTCCAGGTGTGTGAGCCCACATAACCTCAGACCTCGGAGAGCCCCAGCGCGGTTTAACTGTTGAAGTTCCTCCTGCCAGTTTCTCTGAAAAGCCTTTCCCAGGGGCCCTCTTTCCGTACCACCTGCTGTGGTGGCTCTTCTTGGATCACTGATGCTCCCAGCACTTTTATAACTTCATGCTGCTAGCAACCTTTTCTTCAGCACTTGCATCACTAGGGGACCAGGTTGGGCTCCTAAGGATAAACCAGTGAATCAGCTAAGCCTATATTTATGCTCCTGTACTTTTCACCTCCAAAAACATTTGTATTTATGTCAAGTTGGGGCCTCAAGTGCACAGTTGCCTTTAAGGACTTCCCAGACAAGTCTGTGGATTGCATAACTGCAGCATGGCCATGTCAACAATTTATTCAAACCCCTTGTGGAATTCCCAAACTTCCATAATGTAGCCAGTTTCAACATACTTTCTGCTGAAAGGAGGCACCCTTGCAGATGGGACCAGGCTGGAAAACCAACTGTGCTTGCAAAACTGGATTGCTGCAAATCCCCGGGGTGCTAGCGCAGCCTGGGCCTTGCAGCAGAATGTGCCATTCAGGCGCTCGTGCTGCGTCCTGAGCCGCCCCAAGTAAAATTGGAGATGTGAGTTCATAATGATCTTCCAAACCTAATTCTTTGCTGTTACTTAATGTTCCTTGGAAGGAAGCTCAAATGGAGAGTGGCTGCAAGAATCACCAGCTGTGTTGTCCATTGGCTTTTTTAGGGCACTTGGAGTCGATCCCTCAGTTGGAGCAGGGATCCTGGGTGGTATCTCACACTACACCAGACATCTGTGTGTTGCATGGTGCATTTTCTCTTAAGATTGAGTAAGAACAAAATACTCTTAAAAAACAGATGATGAGGACATGGCCCCCTTGCAGAGCAGAGCACCCACTAATGCCTTTGGCTCCTCTCCGATTTGCAGTGCCCAACGGGATCAACCATTCCCCACCGACGCTGAATGGAGCCCCATCTCCACCCCAGCGTTTCAGCAATGGTCCTGCCTCATCCTCATCCTCCTCACTCACCAACCAGCAGCTCCCAGCCACCTGCGGTGCCCGACAGCTCAGCAAGCTGAAGCGTTTCCTCACAACCCTGCAGCAGTTTGGCAATGACATCTCTCCAGAGATAGGAGAGAAGGTCCGGACCCTTGTTCTGGCCCTAGTGGTGAGTACGAACAGGGAGGGGGGAAGATCTGTGCCTCAAAGAGGTCTGCAGAGCCTCTCAGGTGCGAAAGCTGCGCAGTGCTGGTGTGCTGGCAGGCGGCATGTGCACAGTGCTGTGTGTTTGTGTGTGTTCCATTTTTGGGTAGACTTGCTGGCTTTTCCTCCTGTCTTCAGTGCGTTCTAGAAAATTGTTTGCTTTTCTGTTTGCATTGCCTCTCTATGAGCCCAGGTGCAGCTGCACTTAAGGAAACGTAGAAGGATTTGGACTGAGCTTTGCTGTAAGGACTACAGGTCAGGTGTTTTTGCCCCTCCTTACTGCAAGGCATAAGGCTGCGCTTATTGGTTTCGTCTTGCAAATGAAGCTTTCATACAAGTTGGAGGAGCCTGTAATTTTGTGCTGGGAAAGGCTTTTCATCCTTAACACTGGACCACTAGCAAAGCAAACCTAACTCTGGCCAAGGTCGGCAGAAGCTGGGAAGCCTCTTAACTGCAGCAGCAGGCCTGGATCTGCGATAGTCTGATGCTTTGAGTGTTTGTAGATTTGGCTGCACAAAGAAAGAGATTGATGGTTGTGCAAGCTTTTGTCCAGCCATGTGAATTTTGTGACCGTCTGGAGGTGCAATTAGAGCTTGGTAAATAACACTTTTGTGCATCTGCTGCCCTTCCTCCTCATTCCTCCCCTTGGGATTTGCATGATGCTAGTGCATGCATGTGCTTAACAGTACGTGTTCTTTTGCATCTATAGACAGCAGATAAAATTCAGCTAAAACCAAATGAATGGAGTCTTGCTGCAGAATTATGTTTAATGCTTGCATGTATACAAACTGTAAGCTGTTTGGGTTCCTCAGGTTGTCATTCTCATCCCTGATTGAGTTTATTGCGGCAGGGCCAAGCGCTGGGCACGCGGCACAGCAAGTGCTGCTCATCCCAGAGCATGAGCAGCCTGCGTAGCCGGGAGGGATAGGAGGCAGGGCAAGATCATGCCAAGGCAGAGAGCAGCAGACTGGTAGGAAACAACTTCTTGGGTGGTGGATAGTTGGGCTAAATGAGCTGAATGGGAGGAAAAAGGAGAGGAAGCTGAGGAGAGTGGGCCGGAGCACAGGCAGCTTCCTTGTGCCTGGAGAGAGGGCTCGCGCTCTGCGGGCAGCTCTGGCGGCTGGCTGGGCTCGCGGCCACCTTGCCACTTCTCTGGCCATCTGGCTGGAGTTGTGTGGAGCCAGCTGGGCCCTGCTACCTCCCCGCAGGGCCTGGCAACCCAGCCCGGTGGGACCCAGCGCCAGCCGCTTGCTCCCTGCGCCGGCTCCTTCTGCTTGGGTGGCCCCAGGACTGGGCAGGATCTGCTGCATGCACAGTCAGTCCTGCAATAGCAGGTGCCATTTCCACTGCACTTCTGCCGCTTTTGAGCCGCTTCGCCAAGTGTCTAAAACGAGAGCAAATTGACATTCCATGTCTTAATTTCTTTTCTCAGAACTCCACAGTGACAATTGAGGAATTTCACTGCAAGCTGCAAGAGGCGACGAACTTTCCCCTCCGGCCATTTGTGATCCCCTTTCTGAAGGTGACAGTGAGCAGATGGCTCTCGCTAACCCTGTGTGTGTTCATGTTTGCTGCTTGGCACCGTGTCCCTGATGGGCAAGCTCTAGTCCAAGCAGCAGGGCAAGTCTGTTAAAGTCCAAGACAGACTGCCCAGACTGTAGTGATCACCAGGGATAATGGTCTCGCAGAAAGCTAACATTATAGCGGGTCTACTCGCATGTTAGGGATGACCGAGACTGATCAACCTCCATTCTTCAGCCTAATGTAATATTTGAAGTGTTGGTGTACAGACTATGTCCCGAGAAACTTTGTTTCCATGTGCAGCAACTTCAGCCCATGACACAACATGGGTAAAGATGAGCGGTGCAGAGATCCTGAGCAGTGAACATTGAGAGGAGCCCACAGGCTCCAGGTGCTGACAGAGGAGTGGTGGGGATGAAGGTCTTCTGCAGATGGGTGGAACTGCCCCTCTGCAGCCTGCCTAGCCCAGACCCACAGCGTGCGGTGATGTGTTTTCCAGGCCAACCTCCCGCTGCTCCAGAGGGAGCTGCTGCACTGTGCCCGGGCTGCCAAGCAGACTCCGTCCCAGTACCTGGCACAGCACGAGCACATCCTGCTCAACACAAACACCACGTCCCCGGCGGACTCCTCGGAGCTGCTCATTGAGGTGAATGGCAATGGGAAGAAGCACAGTCCAGACAGGTAAATGGAGCTTCGGCCACTCCGTGATCTAAAATCATGACTTTTGACAGCAGGAAAATTGAAACAAAACCTTAACAAAGTTCCATGCTAAATAACAGGATCTTATGGCTCGTAGCAACAATTCGGATTGTTAAAGGATAGTGCTGGTTAGCTGTGTCTGTAATTCTTGCTCACAGTACTCCTGTACTGTGGTTTTGGCCTGGATCCCCTGCGAGGGCTTTCAGGCAGATCTCATCCCAGAGTGACGTGTTTATTAGCAGGTCTGAAACACCTGAATTGGAAAGCTCAGCGTTTCTTCAGAAATGACACCATCTGCTTCCCTTGGCTGAAGGGCAACACAGAGTGAGGGCTAAGGAGGATGGGGTTCATTTTAATTTGTGCTACTTTTATTCCAGGTAAAAGGCGTTGCATAATTGTGTAGCTCATGCTTCTGAATTATAAAGCCTGTGAAAAATTTTAATTGAGTTGTGCTCAGAAAGATGCATATGAACATTTGAGCATTTTGGATTTGGGGTTTTGTTTGTTCCTTTTGGGGGGACAGGGTCATTTCTTGGATTTGTTCTCAGACTAAGTGAGTTTTAGCTTTCTGCTTCTTTCCTCTCCCAGTAAGATCACCACCTCCCGCTCTCTCCTGTTTCTAAATCCACATCTTTTTATTCCTGAGCGCATCCCTGAGCAGCCCTGAGTGCAGGCCTAACCAGTGCACGTTTCTGCTGGTTCAGTTGCAGAAGAGAGGAAAGCAGCTTCGAGAGGGAGTCACTCCCGACAGAGCCGCCGGCCAAGAGAGTGTGCACCATCAGCCCGGCCCCGCGGCACAGTCCTGCCCTGAGCATTCCCCTCATGAACCCTGCGGGGCAGTTCCACCCCACGCCGCCTCCCCTCCAGCACTACACCCTGGAGGACATCGCGTCTTCCCACCTGTACCGAGACCCCAGCAAGATGTTGGAGCACCGGGACGTTCGTGACCGGCATACCAGTCTCAGTAAGGAGGCTTGTAAGCACGTATTTGTAGGTGTTGTGAAATCCGATTGTTGAGGTTGTGTGTCCCTGGTTCACCCCAATGTCCTGTGCTTTTCCGCTTGCCCCTAAAGCTGGGTGATTTTAGGCAGAAAGGCAAAAGTTTCTGCGAGATGTTCAGACAGAACAATTAGCAGTGAGAGGTTAAAAATGGGAAGACTGGACAAGAGGCTGCATTGGTGTGTGCAGGCTGGAGCCCCCAAAGATGAGGAGAAAGGACCTGGTGTTTGAGTGTGGACAGCCCAGCAGGCAAAATGAAGGCTGGGAAAGTAGAGGTTAACTTTTCAGAGTAACTGAGCAAGGAGGTACGTGGGGCCTGGGAGAGCACAGCTTGACTCCCTCTCCTTGACTCCCTCTCCTTCTCCCCTGCACAGGCCAGGAGGTGCATGGGGGGTGAACCTCGTCTTTCCAGTGGGGCAACCTGAAGCACAAGTTCGGAGTTGCTGTGAATTTCTAATGAGGGACCTGGTTCCCCGGGCGGATCAGATCCAGACCTGTGACTGTCTTCTGAGAACACGCACAGGCCCAGGGTGCCTGTCAAAAAACACTACCCACTCTCCGGGAGCTGTGTGGGGTGTTGGGCAGTCCCCAGTCCTGCTCTTTATGTCAGTGACATAAGCACGAAAACTCCAGCTTAGGACATGGACCTTGAGAGGCACCTCCCTGAGATGTGTTTTCAAACCTCGGCTATACTTGGTTAGAGTTACAGATCTTTTTAGTTGCTTGAGGGACATGTTCCCTCTCCAACACTAAGAGAACTTGGTCTGTCTAATCGCTGTTCTGGTTGTGGTTTGTGACAGATTTGAATGGAGGATACCAGGACGAGCTGGTGGACCACCGCTTAACTGAGAGAGAGTGGGCGGATGAGTGGAAGCATCTCGATCATGTAAGGAAAGGCTAGTGGTGTGGAAAGCTCTGTGGGGATAAAACAACCGTGTGCTCCACCTGCTCCAATTTGCATTTTTATCGTTGCTGATAACATATCCAGGCTTTCCAGACGACTTGTAGAGGAGTGGTGTGAGAAGGTGGGCAGTGGGGAGGACAGAAAGCCTCCTGCACTTGTGAAAGTGAGACCCTATGCTTGCTTATGCTCTAAAGCTGATGTTTCACACAGGTGTGTGGAGTAGAGACCCTGCAGCTGAGTACTGTGAGTTGGGACATGGCCCGTTTCCTCCAAATTAGAGGCAGAGGCCTTTTTTTTGCTCACCTTCTCGTTGCAGAAACATTCATGCCCCTGCTGTCACTTCTGTGTGAAGCCATCAGGAGAAGATGTTCCCACAGCCATGGGTTGGGGTGGGAGGGTGGTCATAGCCAACCCTTGTTGGGGCTTTTGTGATAGCTTTTGAAGACTTCTTGTTCCATTGCACAGGAACTTTTCTGCTTCTCCTACGAGTACTTTTCCACTCCTTCATGAGCTTTCTGATGGCTAGGATGGAGGGGTGGGATCCAAACATCAGTCACAGCAGCGGCATGGCAATACCTGCTTGAACACCATTTTGACCAAAACACTATGCCCAGGTGCTGCTACTGTGAAACAACCTGGTGTTTTGTCTTCCTGGGACAGTCCCCTCCCACAAGGAATTAGGGAAGTGACTGTGTGAAAAGGCAGCTTACCAAGACAGAGACCATGTCCTTCCCCACAGGCGCTGAACTGCATCATGGAGATGGTGGAGAAGACCAGGCGCTCCATGGCTGTCCTGCGGCGCTGTCAGGAGGCCGACCGCGAGGAGCTCAACTACTGGAAGAGGCGCTGCAGCGAGAACGCTGAGACGAGGAAGGCAGGGAGCGAGCTCCTCTCCAGGCAGCACAGTCCCAGCAGCTCCGACTCCATCGGCAGTGGTAAGCGTGGGAGGGGGCTGCGCTGCCTCCTGCTCATTTCAGGTGCTCTGCATTTCCACCAGTTTCAGAGGGAGAAGTCAGAGATGTCATTAGGGTTTATATGCAGGCAGGATAATAGATGTTTTTTCATGAAAAATGAACCCTTTAAAGCAGATGTCCAATTATGACAAAGCTATACTAGGTATGAAATGAATGAATGAGTTCAAACTATGATATAAACAAAGTGCTCAAGTAGTGCATAGCTGACTTCAAAGCTTTGAATTGAATCACTGAGCTCCTGGGCAAGCACCAGGGTTTGCTGAAGTGTGAAGGCAACTTTTGGCCGCGGCAGCTTCTTCTGCAGGTGCCCAAAGAATATTGTCCTCAGGTGGCTGGGTCAGTGAGCTCAGGTTGAGGATGAGTTCTTTCAAACTTGAGAAACCATTAGGGGACGTGAAAAAGCAACAAACGTTGGTAGTTTTACCCTTTTCCATTCTGCCTAATGGATGTTAAATGGTGTGATCTATGAATTCTAAAAATACTGAGGAATGGAGTAAGCATAAGAGCTACTACCTATGAGTTGAATAATGAATACTGGGTTTTGTTTTGTAAGTCAATATAACTTTATTGAAACTGTTTTTACCCTCCAGTATGCAGAGATTTTTGACTCCCTTCAAAAAACAAGTTTGAATCCTAATTTTCTGCATTTGAATTTAATTCTAATTTCCATCCAAAACAGCTTGCTGCAAATCAAATGCTAAAAATAATCCTGATCATTCTGTAGTGAAAAAATATTCTAGGAGTTTACTGTTAGAAAATGTTTTCTAATAGTAATGAAAATGTCCCAATTTAAAATCCCAATTTGATGTTGCTCAGCTTGTTGTTTGTAGACTGAATAAAGAAAGTAAATGTTCCTGCCTGTCAGAAAGAACCACTGGTTTTATGGTAAACGTGAGATTTAGCTGCACTAGAACAAGTTTTGATAATCCCTAGGGAGTGAGGATGAGTAATAAATTAAAAACCTGATAGACACATCTATCAGAAGCTAAAAATCGCCTGTGATCATCTAATATACTTACAGTCCCAAGATGTTAAAAAAAATAAATAAATAATAATAAAAAAAAAGGTCATTTATAAGTGATTGGGATTTTGGGTGGTAGTTTCTCCTCTTGTGGAACCTAATGTTACTTTTTCAAATGGTGTTGCGATTGCTGGATGGTGTATGCCAGGAATACCACATTATGTTAGAAGCTTGAAGAACCCTGAGACCTTCCTGAAATGTTTTTGCTCTCCCTTTGCCATGGCTTAGTTTTTGTTTGGCTGGTGTCATTTGACCTGTCAAGAAAAAATTATTTGGAAGTATTAAAAAGTTCTAGAGATAAAAGGACATGCCTAGGTTGCTGAAAAGGCTTTCCTGTGCAACTGTATTCTGTGTTGAGGTCTTAGTATGAATGTCTCCATCTGTCACTTGGTAGCTCTATGGATGGTCGGGAACATGTACACCCCAGTGGTAGATGTCTTGTAGTACAGTGTGTCCATCAGTACAAGTCTCTGGATTGCCTCAGGAATGGACACTGCTGCATTTAATGTAAGCTGCTGTTGGGTATAGATTGATGTGCAAAGTCACTAGACAGTGCAGATATTTGATGGCATATATTTATAAATATTGCATGTTGTTACAAAGCACCAGAAGATGGAAATGGGTTACATGCTGTAATAAATTATGCAGGACACTAATTAAATGTTGACATTTATCATATAGATGTTTGAGGAACGGCCTTTGCTTGGGGTGTTAGCTGGTTAAGCCCACGCTGTGCCACGTGTCTTTGCTGGACGCAGCAGTTCTCTGTAGGCCCGTCTGGCAGGCGGCTGTTTCTCCGAAGGCTGGCAGGTGAGAGGAGGCTTTGCCAACCTTTCCATGTATCCCTTCTTCCGGCAGATTCCTTGCGGGAGTTCAGCAGCAGGTCGGGAACAGGCTATGTCACTGAAGAGATATGGAAAAAAGCTGGTAAGTGTTTGTTAGCAACCTTGGCAAGTGACTCTACGAAGTCATCTGAGGTAAACACAGATGTTGTGGATTGCTTTTTGGAAACGGGGGAAGTCCAAATGCCGAGAGTCCTGCGATGCACACGTCTGGCTCGCTCAGCTACCGGTGCCGGACTGGGTTTTGCGAAGGGGCACACGTCCGCAGGCTGTGAGTCCATGGACACAGGGAGGGTCATGCCTGGGGAAGCAGTGTGGGCCTGTGCCCTGGCGTGTGTGAGTGCCCGGCTGTTGGGAGCACAGATATGCAGCAACGTAACCAGTCAGAGCGGCTTCCTGAGGTTGCTGTGGTCCGAAGGCTGGTTGGTGAGGCCGTTGTTTCCTTCCAGAAGAAGCCGTGAACGAGGTGAAGCGTCAAGCCATGTCCGAGGTGCAGAAGGCTGTGGCAGAGGCCGAGCAGAAGGCGTTTGAGATGATTGCCTCCGAGAGGGCACGGATGGAGCAGACCATCGCGGACGCCAAGCGCCAAGCTACCGAGGATGCTTTCTTAGTCATAAATGAGCAAGAGGAGTCCACAGAGGTAAGGAGCCAGGTCCTGGCCATGGCCAACGGGGTGGGAGAGCAGTGGGGAATGTCGAAGGAGAGATTTGGAAGATGTGCCTGCCTGCCGTGCTGAGCCTGTAGGTCCCATATCCCTTTCTCCTTCTAAAAATCTTTCCAAGCAATAACTAAAAGCATAGTAAATATCATCTTGGAGACTCTAGTTTGGCTGGCTCCCAGATAGGTGCCCCAGCTAACAGGCAGGCAGCTGCTCTCCCCAAACAGTCTTGAGGTTTTTTTGATGTCCGGGTCCCATAAAGTCTGCTGATCCCTCCTCCATGGGGAGGTGAGTGTGAAGCTGCTGCGTGGGAGGGTTGTCCCTGCAGTATGGAAAGTCTAGCAGCACCTAATGAGACTTTTGCAGGTTTGAAAAAGGACAGATGACTTCTAGTTTGTTGTAGCAAGGAACACTTGACGAGTAGGTGTCTCCTGGAGACTTTCTTTCCACCCCTCAGTCAGTAAATATCTTCCCTGTTCTTTAACTGGAAACTCAACCCATGAACTCAACCCATGCTCTGCTGAGCAAGGCGAGTCGCACAGTTCATTCCTTCTCGTGGTTGCCATGCACCGTCACACTCCGATGTCACTGCCAGGTGTGGGGTTTTTGTGTGTGTTCGAGGGTTTTTTTTTTTTTAATTTCTCCCCACACCTGCTTTGAACTCTTATTCGCAAGCAAAAAGCTAATGGGAATGGGACGTTAGCACCATCCATGAGTGTATGGTTAGCAGGTCCATCTGCCTCCACATGCGGGATTTCAGAGATGCGGGATTTCCATAGCCCCTGCTGGCCCAGATGCCCCGGATTCAGCACTGCAGGAGCTCTGGAAAGACCAATACAGCATCCTGTGTATGGTACAAGGGTGTGATGTGCCCAGCTCTGCTGCAGGGCTTGCTTTCACATTGCAAAAAAAGATGTAAATATGAGGTGTTTTGACGGAAAAGTATGTTTAGAGCTTACTTCCCCATTAAAGGACCAAAGGGAGAACATAGCGGTCTGTAAACATGTGATGGGAGTAGGAGGAACTGCTTCAAAAGTCATGAAAGAAATGAGATAAGCAACGATTGAGCTGTAGGGGAAAAACAGCGGAGTGTCTTGCTCTCTCATCTCCTACCAGTCCCCAAGCGCCGCTCCAGGTGACGGGCAGCAGCCGGGCAGCTCAGGGCAGCACTGCTGCCTTGGCAGCCAGCTCCTGCTACAGTGCTGGCGCTCCTTTCCTTGAAAGCTACACTGAGAACTCTCCTGATCCTGGTATGCTTTGCAATCTTGGAAATACCATTTAAAACCACTGGCTGAGACAGATGTGTAAACAGCTGTAAAGCAGTGACCAAGCTTTCCAAGAGTTTCTGCAGGCTTCTGCGGACTTCCCTTGTTTTCCTGTCCTGCTTCTCTTGGCGGACGGGCGGCCATGGTGCGTGCCATCCCTGGAGCGCTCTGCTCCCGAGCAGCTCGCTTTGGCTGCTTGCTGAGAGCCAGTGATTCCCCGCCGGGAGCGAGCGGCTCCCAGTGCCGCACCAGCAGGTGGGAGCGCTTCCAGGAGCGAGTGGCACTTCCCTGCGGAAAAGCTGTGGGCTGATTGGATGCTGGAGCAGCTCCTTGCACTTGCAGAAACGGGAGTTCCACAGCGCTGAGCCGGGTGAGGGAGAAGTGCACGGGGCCCCACAGGCACCGTGCTCCCATGGCAGAGCTCCTCTGTGTGCGCACACATGGGTCCGGCTGTGGGAAAGCTCCTCTTCCCGCAGCCCCCGCGGCGCAGCTGCAGCCAGAGCTGCCGATGTTGGCAGCCTGCCCGCGCGCTCGCCGCGGAGCCGGGCCGCGCTCGCCGGCTGTCCCGTCTCCCGCAGGACCGAGGGGCTTTGCTCGCCTGCTGCATCAGAGCCCACGCTCCAGCAGCGCTTACAGCTGCCCAAAAGGCTTTCAGATGAGCTCTTGCTTTCCCTCCTCAGCTTGCTCCAACCAGGGTGAAAAGCAACTGGTGAGGGTGCAGCACACTCTGGTCCCCATGGAGAATGCTTGGCCAGCAGCGATACCAAAATAGAGCTGTTTAAAACAGGAAACAGGGAGGCCGAGGAGCAGCATCTTTAGTCCTTGCCTGCTGTTTCCTGTACGCGCCTGGGGGCGGATCTGGTGCAGAGGATGTGACCAGTGCAGTTTGAGTGGCTGTTTTGGGCAGAGCAGCAAAGCTGGGTCAGTACCTCTGGCAAAGGCTGCAAAATAGCAGGAATTTATGGCTTGATCATTTTAATATGACTAATATGGGACCAAAGAGGGGAGGAACTCTCCTCTCCCCAGCTGCGGAGCGAACACCATCCTACAGTTGGTGAAGCACATTTTAACATGTCTCCCGTCTTTCAGAGCTGCTGGAACTGCGGTCGCAAGGCCAGTGAGACGTGCAGCGGCTGCAACATCGCCCGCTACTGTGGCTCCTTTTGTCAGCACAAAGACTGGGAGAGGCACCACCGGATCTGCGGCCAGGGCCTGCACGGGCAGAGCAAGCCGCTGGCTTTGCCCATGGGGCGGTCTGCAACCAGCAAGGCCATCGATGGGGTCCCCAGCCCGGCCCTGGAGAAGACTTCAGCAACGACTTCCCGATCCTCTACCCCAGCATCTGTGACAGCAATAGACACAAACGGACTCTAAGGAGATAAAATTTGGTTTCACATTGTTTTTCCTGTGTTTTTTTAAAGACAAAATAACTCCCTAGGAACTCTTATCACATTACATGTTTGACAAATCTACGCTGCTGAATCCAGAGCACTGACGCTCAGGCTTTTCCATCTCATTCTGTTTTTGTGGTTCATGATGACTTCATGCCAGCCTTGCCTGAGAGGCCTCTGCACGGTCCTCGTGAAAGGGGCATGCCAGAGAGCAGCACTGGGACATCAAGGATGTCGGGCTGAGCCCAGGGGACCTGGACTTCATGGCAAGTGCTCCCAGGGCATGCAGGAGAGGCCAAGCAAGCATTGCCCAGGTAGGGGACCTTATGGGTGAAACGTGTTTATGCCCCTCTCTCCTGGGCTGTCTGAGCAGCCTGCCCATCAGCTGCATTTCCATCACACACATCTGCGTTTCTGCCCTCCCAGACAGCAGTTTCTCAGCGTTGCCCATTTGCTCTGAGGAAGAACATCTCATTTTCTAATGCAGTGACAGATACATCACCCCTGGGGGATAGCTGCGCCTCTCTCTTGCCCAGCACTGGTTACAGGTTGGCACACTGCAGGGACTGAGGAGAGAATTTGCTGGTTGAGGACAGAGTGAAATCAAATGTCAGCAGCAGGGATGTGTGGATGGTCACCTTTGGATGGCCCATTTTTAACCGTTTCCTCTTAACTGGACAGCCAGTTGCTTATTAATCTGGATAGGACCTTTGTTCTCATTGCTGAATGAGAATGAGCAGACTGAATCCCACTTCTTTGCAGGCAGTTATTGCCCTTCCCACTTGGGCACCAGCATCTTGCTGCATAGGAGGCCTTTTTTTTCATGGCACAGAAGGTTTGAGAGTCATTGACATTGTTTGCAACCACCAAGATCTTCACACTGCTGCCATGGATTATTTATAGTCTGCTCTCTCCAAGCATGCTGGCCAAATTATTAAAAATTTCTGAAGTTGGTATCTCATGTGGGTTCCTGAGTCCCCAGTCCTTGTGGGGTTGATGAGAGCTCCTCTGAAGGCTAAGGTGCTTAGCTCAGCTCATGGTTTGGGAAGGGAGTGCAAAGCAGCTGGTACCACCTCACCTGGCATTTGAAACCCAACCCCGAAAAGCTGGGTAACCAAAGCCAACCAACCGATGCCAATTCATGGCAGTGCACGGGGAGCAGCGCTGGGCTCAGTGTGAACACCTAGTTTTACAGCTCCCTTTGGAGGTCATTACAGGCACAACTAATAAAAGGAATCGGAGTGAGCCCGCCTGCGATTCACACTGATTTCGCATGCCATGTGCAAACAGGAGCTAGAAAACCATCTATTCAGCAAAGCTGTGTTTCCATAACTGTTCTTTCCCATGGTTGCTGGGTTGGGCCCCAGTGAGGCAAGTAATTCCCAGATTATTTTTGATCACTTTTTTCAGTAGGAGGCGAAGAAGAGCGATGTAATGAATAGTCATTGAATTTGCCAAGGTGTCTGCTGGCTTTCATTGGTACGCCCACGGATAAACAGGTTACCTGCTTTTTTTTTTCCCAAGGAGAGAGCAGGGCAGCCCCAAAGTGCAGCAGCCCTGGGGCTGCCATCCTTGCTCAAAAGTAGCAGGAAAAAAAGTCCTGGAAATAGTCTTTTGCCATAACTGCTGCAAAACTTTAAAACTATCTCAGTCTGACTCACCAGGATCCAGCATTAAGGAGGGCTGAGGAGATGCAGAGAAGGGCAGGGGGTGCCATGGTCCTCAGCAGCACTGCTCACCCCAGAGCTCGTGGCTGGGGGGGCTGCCCCAGACTTGTGGCCACGGCCACATTCGGGGTTGCCGCAGGTAGAAAACACCTGGTTACAGCATGCCAAGGATTACTGCAGCCCTGCCATAATGCCAGCGAGCAAGCTGTGCCCAACTGCTATTCGGAGGCAGAGAGAGCAAGCAGAGCTGAAAGGAATTGCTTGTAAATAGATCGTCTTCCATAATTTTCATGCAACTTGTGTATTAAAAATTAACCCCAATGTAAATGAATGAAATACTAACAGTCATGATTAGAATGATTGCCTTTTCTTCTTTTTTTATTTTCCTAACATGGAATGATAAATGTGAAATTCTGCTATGAGAAGACTTGTTGGATTAAGTTTTCTATTTGGTTTCTTTTTTGGCATTTAATTCTGTAAAAGGAATTTTGCTACTTCATTCCTGTGTATAACTTATTTAATGTACTGTATAAAGGAACCCAAACTGTTACAGATGTATTTAGTTTTGTTCTACTCAAAGTAGTCAATAAAAAGACTATATTCATCATATCAGCGACTGCCTTCCCTTTTCTAGGGGAGCAGAGCAGCGCCTCCGGGCAAGTCCCCTGTCCGTGGGAGGGCATCTGGGGCCTGCACAATCACTTGTTTAAAAAGAAAATCTCAAAAGTCAGGGCCAAAACATGCTGTTGTGTGCTGGTTTCCTCTGAAAACACCCCACTGAAATCATGTCCCTGGAGAGGTGCCAGCAAGGGAAAGCCCAGGGCCCTTCCCAGCCGTCTTCCTCCAGCAAATTGCAGCTTTGAGAGGGGACCTGAGAGTCCCCAGTGTCATTAGGTAAAGAACCAGATGCTGGGAGATAAAGTGGACAGACGATGCTCTGACATCTCCAGTTCACTGGGCTTTACCTTTGCTTTGCCACCTCCAGAGCATCATCTCGTGCTGTCCCAGGGAGCCCAGGGTCCTGCTGAGGCTTGGTGGCTTGTCAGGACTTTCCAAAGCCTCAAGGAAACAGAACTTGGGCTGGTGGAGGGTGTTGGACATGGAGGCGATACGCACCTGGGGCAAGCTGGGTGCATTATGGTTGCCCTCACGCCCCCCTGGCCAGCCCACATGGGCAACTAGGGG